CGAGTCAAAATTAGTTGACGCAGTAATCCATCGGAGACTTCGCCTTTGGCACATGAATCGGGTGTCAAACAGGCCATATTTTCGTTACTGGGGGGCGAAACTGGATCAGCATACTCCAAACACGGGTGATATAGTTAAAAATCCGCATTCATCCTGCTGATTTCCTGCGCAACTACAAGGAATTTGACTGGCTCCTATAGAGGACTACACACGTGATTTGTGTTGGATCAACGCGGGATTCAGTCGGCTCACGGCACGTGTTAGCAAGGCTGCGCAGAGTCTGCGCATGGAATGTGGTGGCACGCATAGACGCAGACTTCAAGCCGCACCAGCCACTTGCGTCAATCGGATGACTTGCTCAGACGGCGGACTGGTGCATGGGGGAGGGAAGAGAGAGTGAGGACGACTCTGGAGACTTCGTCCCTATGGCACTCCAGCGCATTCCCTCACTATAATAATTCTGACGTGCTCTGAAATTATCACGAAGCACTAAAGGTCGTGGCCTGGAAGGTTACTAGCTGATGGGGCAACTCAGTCCTGTCAGAAAGGAGAGTCGGGCTGAATGTCTCCCTTTCAATGAGGTCTCTATGGCACTCAAGCTAAGGTGGGGTCTGAGTCACCCTCCTTGTTTCTGCGAAAATCCAGCCCATCGCGCGTGTGGCAAGCGCAGACGGGCCGTTAGGCCTTGTCAGACACTGAGCCTCCGGTCGTTCTCACTGTGTTGCCACTGGGCCCAGGCGGGAGAGGGCGGTGAGGGTGCGACAGGTGCTGCGCAAGTCTGCCATCAATATAAAATAATTTACCCGCAAGTCACCGTCCTGCCTCTACCATGCTTTAGGCCCACGATGAACGTCGTCGTTCATACAATACATACAATGCCATACAATTTCTGGCATAACTTCTGATTTCAAGGAACAAATGGCTAAGTCTGCAGCAAGGTGGCCACAACTCGACTCGCCAGGTGCTACCTAAGTCAAGAGAACATGCACAAGCGTCGAGACTGAAAACGACAAACCGGGTTTCGAGGACTCTATTCAAATGGCCGCTCATTGATGTTAGGAGACGCCCAACTTTACACTGGATAGACTATCAAATATACAAAATGGCGTTAGCACACTCAATTCGTAAGGCTGTTTTGTGCGTGAGCATTACTGGTCTTCGAAAAATTCTGATAATTTTGCCATGGCATCTAACCACTCGCATCGCCCATATTGGAGGGACCCTTTGGTTACTGATGGGTGAATGTATAAAATCAAAACGCTAAAGAATATGGGTGGAGTCCCATGCACAGGATAATTAAGTTATGCAGTGGTAAACGGGGCACGGTGCTGTGGACAGTTGAGTTCTGCGCCCCCTCCGGAGGTTGCGGTTTTTTTTATAAAACAAATGACTCCAATGGCTGGATTTACCGTCCGTTTCTTCCTCTTATAATTATTGGCGGTAGCAGTGGTAGTAGTAGAACTCAGAAGGCAACATACCTAAAACGGTTATGAAGAGTACAAACCGGATAATGGTCTCTCTTTCAAGGAAACGGCAAACGGACTTTAGGCAGCTCGGGTCAGTACAGAAAGGACAAATGGAGCGGCGATATCATCTCGCCAGCCATCTTCTAAATCTGTGATTTTCGTTTTGAGTTCGCATCCAAATGAATGTCATTCTTATATAACTACATTCAAAGATTCGATTACGATAAAAGTGACGTTTATTAAAGAAGTGGAGCGAAGCAGGTAAACAGTCATAAAGAGTATAACTCACTTTTTTAATGATAAGGTTTAAGTTAGGCCTCAGGGGATGATCAACGGATACTGCCGCGTCCATTTCGCGTACCGTCTTAATGATACAAAGGAGGGAGAAGGATGAAACATGACAGAAAAAAATGCACATAAATTTTATTCGAAAAGACAGGGACTAACCTGCAGAAGATGCTTTAGATCCTCTTCGTCCTCAACATACTCGAGATATCGTTTACTAAGTTGAAAGTAGGCTAAACGCAATCGAGTCGTAGGATTTCCGGCTCGCCAAGCTGAACGCGGAACTTCCACTAGGCCATAGCCAAGAAATATTATAGTGAGAAACAGACCCCACGTGTTGCTAGTTGTGATCAAAAGCACCTTCAACGAAACTCTATAAATGCAGAAAAGGAAAGTAAAATTTAACTGGAGGCGAAGTTGGAAAAGGAAAAAGCAACGCATTACATTTCATGGGAAATAATTACACTGGAAAAATCTAGTGGATACTTGAGACTTAAACCTAGCACATGCGTTTGTGGAGGACAGATACATGTACTGTTGGAAGCGGACTTAGTATAAGCAGGCTATTTCTTTATCCTCACAATCATTGGGATAGACTTAATCCACATTGCAGGCCTCAACACAGCAAGTTAAACTAGGAAGTTTAAGGAAGTATTGTGCAAGGACGCCAGTTCGGGCTGTAAGACAATATAACGTTAACGCATATTATGTGTACTAGTGAAAGGGGATATGACTGATAAGACATGCCAGAGCTAAGAGAACAGTGCTGAGGATGCCAGTAGCCATGCGGAACGAAATCAAAAGCTTCACTGGCGGAGCCAACGGGTACCTACGAGCATTAATTGGGCCGGATACGTCGGACGAAACAACCTGTTATACTGGAGCATTCGGCGTGTGAGGTATCGCTGAAGTCTCGACTAGATGTCTCACACATAACGGATGGGGGCCATTCACAAGCACGGTATAACACTAACGGAAGGCCTTATGCCAAAAAGCCCGTGTTTCTATCTGACTTCAGTTGAGCTACGAAGGGTGAAAATAAGTCGACGGCAGACGCATGAACACCAAGTTAACTTGCGGCGGGCTAGGTTGCAAAGATTGGACAAAACTTAAAGTTTGACGTCCTCGGGGTAAGTGGAGGTCACAACAACACGTAGCGGCAATAAAAGAAGGCATGACATCAATCGACGATTCATTTTATCGTTACATCTACCTGCCTGCGGCATGTGGCTGACAAACTACTTACCGAGTCAAGACGTACGACTATCAGTCGTCAGCCAGTGCCACAGACAACAAGAACGGAATTCACACTAACAACGGTATAACGGAGGTCTGCGTCGAACTCGGAGAGACATCGCCGGCCTACGTGCAGACATGGCGTTCGCGAGACCCGCAAACCCAACGATATCAGATGTGCGCAGAAACACCAAGTCTTTGAAGATGAGTGACCGGATTTTCAATCTCTACTCATCGACGTACTAATTTATTGCAGGACTTTGAGGATGCACTGAGAGTAATTGACGAAAAGTGGTCACCAACCAACGCTCAGTCATTTCGGGCTCAGTCTCGACAACAACTGTAGGCGTCAAACATACAGACAATTCTACTTCTGCCAACTTGCATTGACAGTTCGACTGCCGTTTCCGACGACGTCCACTGCGTGCTCCACAGCAGGCGGGCGCAGGGGCGGTGCTTAGCGCGTGAATACGTATAGCAGACTTGCACGGCATCTACCGCACTCTCTCTTTACCCCCCAACTGGGTCCAGTGTTATGACAGAGTCAAGAAGACCGGAGGTGAGAGAGGGCGCAGGCGGCTGGCACAATAAAAGCCCGCACCTAGGCGTGCCACCACGCTCTCTGGTCCGCCACCTACAACTGACCAGGATTTTACACAAAAAAGGGGGCAACGGCTCGAATTCCAACTGAGTGGGAGTGTCATTAAGGCCATAGTAAAAAGGAGCCACTGTAACCTGACTGTCCGTCCTCCGAGAGGGACCGAGTTATCCAGTCAGTTGGCAGCCTTACATGCGTTTACGGTAAAAGCATCCCTTACTAATACCAAACACAGACAAAAACACCGGTCCAAAACCAAATGTTTGCGATTTATGGGCCAAGACGCATATAAGACCAAAATATTTCAGAAATAGTTCTTTAAATATTGTTTCCATCAACCACGTAATGTTTTTGTGTGTTCCGCGATTGACGCAGAGTAGAGCTCATTTAGAACCTGACGCCCTACAGGTCGTTCCAAAATCGCGTAAACAACAAAGATGGAGCGAACGCGAATTGTTGGCTAAAATGTTGGGAGACGATACAGTCCCTGCACAATGAGCAAGATAGAGAACACACTGCGTCAAACTAAATGGTCTGGATGGATTTAAGAACGCCAAGACGAATTCCTACAAATACAGCATATACGGGAGACATTACGTTACGAGGGCATAGAGTAACTCACGACCTATCAGTTCGCATATGCCTCGTCCATCGGCATCGTTGTTCTTTCAGGAGGGCAATCGTGACGTAATTTTGAACAAACCTGTCTCTTAGGGCTAAGATCGAGCCACCCTGTTGGGTAATCTCGTTGAAAGGTTGCCCTGAAAATTCCAAAGTCGCCTTATTGCTCTATGTGAAATCTGGAATTAAATTTAGTCGTCCGATAGAGAATTGGCATGTATTTAGAAAACATCCTTAAAATTTCAGTCGTCGACAGTCGACCCAGAAAACTTTAAGCTGCATTTTGAGTAGGAGCTCAACCAACGCTGTTTCAGCGGAGGAACACCCGCTTGTCGGAACCAATAAGTAAAGGCTGGAGGCAAGAAATTGCATTAAGGGTGCAGTCTTCGAACAGGAATTTAAAAATAGGATATATGAAGTGGTGTATGAGGTATGATGGGAAAAGACATTATGTTGAATTCGAACGTACGAGCTCAGAGGTACGGTCCGTTTCACCAGCAGATAAACGAGAATGCAGACAAAAATGATACAAAAGGATCCATAGTAAATGGCATTATCGATTACTGCAGATCGAAGTTTTCGCATGATGGTGAATTCGCCAGAGGTCGAATAAGAATTCATAATTGGGAGTAAAAACCTTCCATATGAATGACAAAATAAGAGCTTACCATGTCAAAAACTGTGATGTCCAATACACGAAGTGCCAAAATACGTCTAGAGTGAGAGCATCCGTAAAGACGGCAGGTGGACGAAGAGTAGCCGAGGAATTTTGGAGAATTTTTATTTTGTTTGAATTAGTAAAATAAGTCTATTCCTACATATCATCGGAAACAGCGGTACAATTACCGAGGCAATATCGACTGGGAGCACGCCAACAATTAACAGAGGAATGTACCATCCTAAAGTGTGTGCCACAGTAGCAAAGGCGGGCTGCTTTCGCCATCGACCAAAGTAATAGGATAAGTAAAGAGTGACCAACGCACATCCACACAATTCAGTGGCAAAGACGGTATTAGCCATCGTCTAAGTCTGCCGCCGCCGCGACGACTACTACAAAAGAACGCGGCATCACTGGACTGATAAAAACAATTTCACAAGGTCGCTCTAAGGTATTGGAGGTCATACAGAAAGAAATCATGGAGCTTGGAGCTTAAATGTAACCGTAGATCTTTGAAATTGTTAAATGTCCTCTTTATAGTATATGCAGGCCCACAGCCATATTTAGACACAACACATCCACCCACGGAGCGATATTACCTCTATAATTGTTCCCAGAACGGAAATGCCCACTAACAAGAAGCCACTGCGCCCATAGTCAGAATGAGATGTCTGTCGGAGTACGACCCCACTTTGAACCTAGTTGTGCGCTACCAAGACATTAGCACATGTGATTCAGTTACTTGTCTTGCTAGAAGCGCAGATGCCACGACTATGGTAGCATTTTGGAAAAGTCACTGATGAACGCAGCTGGACAGTAACGAACACTGGTCTCAACACTACGATGAAGAAGTTAATTAGGATTTCATAACTATAAGCGCATATAGGAGGGTTAATAAACTACGCTGCCAGACGAATATAAACGTCAGCGTGTGTCAAGGGACTGTTGTCCTGTTTACTAGCAATGTATAATTCCGGAAATTTGCCCAAAATAATCATCACAAAGATGTAATATGTAGCGGACAGTAAGCTGCTTTGAAACGTTGAGACATCCTTTTTAATGAGAATTAAGTCAATGAAATAGCGGCGCAGCATCGTTCGAATAATTCAAAAATTTTTGATTTATCCATAAGATTGTTCAGAATAATTTACCATCCCAGTAAGTAACAACTTGAATTACCCCCTCTCTCCTTTTTGCACTCCAGACGATACCTTTTACTACGTCCCCTGCCAAAACCGGTTTCGTCTAGCTCCACAGGGATTAGTGTAGGCGGGGCTATGGCGGACTTTTAAACACCCAGCCCTCTCTGGCAACGCCGGCGGAAGAAAAATTAGCGACAAAAAGCCTTCCTTTAACTTTTTGGTCCTCATTTACGATATAGACGAAAGTGAATCTTATTTAAGGTAGCCAGAACTGTACCCTCCTTAAATGCGGCGCTTCAAGACCCCTAGGGTTGCGAATTTATGTTCGGGAAGTAGGCGCCCAGTAGCAAATGCAGATCGGAAGAAGAAGGCTAGCGCCTTGGCGATTTTAGAAGCTAAGTCATTCAGTTTCTTGCTTGAGACTTCGTTGAGCTCTGGGAAGTTGACTGCTTCAAGAGTGCGGAATTTTTCCTAAATGATGTCTCCTATAAAAATGACTGTTTTGGGGAGAGATAGTTCCCCGTGGTCGTAAGTAAATGGGAGAAAATCGGTTAGTTTTTGAAGATGGACCGATTGGAAGAAGAGAGATGCTCAGCCTTTGCCTTGGCTTCCCAGAGTTCCGCACATTTGGAAGCTCGCAACAGTGGGGTATGATCCGCATTCATCGTACTATGCCCTGTACAACAGCAGAGAAGTTTTTAGTTCATCACTGAACGGTTCCAGAAATTCTTTTGTAAGACACTGATCTCCAGCGTCGAGAATTCTATCCCAAGTTTCTTAGAAGCTTTTCACAAGGAAATATATCGTTTTACTTAATACCCATTGGGGCGCTTCCATAGTAGGTAAAAATAAATTTTGGATCGAATTTTATAACTAGTAGGCAAACACTGTACGACGTTCAGTTCGTGCTTATAAAATAGGCAATCGGTATGCAAAACGGTTAGTGGACAGTAAAAAATTTCATTTTTTTCAAAAGAGTTCGAACTCAACTTAGAGCGTGCGCATCAACATGGTTTCAATTACATCCCTAAGAGGTTGGCTAAGAAGAAAATCGCCCTTTGTGAAGAAGACGATGCATGAGCCGAAGGATTGAAAAATCTAGATTTCTGATTAGAGACTCCGGAGAGCGAAACCATATAAAGAGAGAGAAGGGGGAGCATATACGGCAACGTGGCGGTGAAGTCCTAAATTATCGGTAGCCCTTTCCTAGAGTCATGGAGAAAGGTGCCCTGGGAGGATGAGAAAATGGCTGTTTAGTCGAGTCAGTATTCAGTTAAATGCGCAGCCTTCTCTTAAAGGTATGTAGATTAGCTGACGATCGTACATCAGTTGGGAGATTACTCTAAAGGAAGGTTTACCCAGAAGCAAAGAAAAGGAAACGCTTAGAGCTTGAGGAAGCGAAAGGAGGTAAAATCAGGGAAGAATTACGACGATTGTATATGCGACTAGCAGGAGTAGGGGCTGGAATGTGAAAAAGATTTAAACCATTACTGATACGAGAAAGCAGACATAAGCCTGCTTCTAGTCTCCGAGTCTATAGGTTTTTAAGGTAAGTTAGCTGGTATCTATATGAGTAGGAAGTACACAGATGTGTCTTATTTAAATGTCTTAAATGGCCTTAAAGATTTTCAATTTTAAAACGACTAGCCTGGTTCACCAAAAAAGAATGGGCAGCAATTATCGAGAATCGGAAGGGCAAACATTCACTGAAGTCCTAATTTTGTTTCAGGAAGGTAGGAACTATAAAAAATAAAATAACAAGTCTGGGAAGCTTTGGTCGTAATTCTATCGGCGTGTGGCGAGAGATGTCGATTATTTGTGTCGTTGAATCTTAATCCAGTGATGGTGCCACATCCAATCATATGTGTGCTTTGAGAAATCACTGGTTTTGTTAGACTTTCAGGTTCAAAACACATATAGCGGCATTTGGCTGGAGAGAATTCCATTAGCCATGTTCAGCTCTATGCGCAAACAGCAAGCTAATCGGTACGGACTCGCTCCAAGCAACGTTGGGTCGTAGATTTACAGAATGAATATACTTATCTGAGGTCATCGCTATGAACGAAAGACTGGAAATGTTTAACTTCCGACAAGATATCATTAATATAAAGCCATAACAGAGGAGGACCTAAAATAGCATCTTGGAGGTCACCACCTGCGATAGGGCTCTAATAGGAAAATTAGGATCCCACTCAGACCTTTTGCTTTCGATTTGATAAGTATGACTTAATATAGTCAATAATGGGACTGAGAAGTTCCAGAGCGTGTAATTTAACTAAGAGTATTCTATGTGGCACTTTATCAAAGGTTTCAGGGAGATCAAAATAAATAACGACCACAGGCAAGTGGTAATTACGATGAGAAGTAAGTAAATTAATAAACGACATGCAGCACTTTCCAAAGGAGCGATCGGGCAAAAAACCATGTTGGGACAAGCTAGTAACTTGACTAGCTAGGCAAAAGTCTGCAATCTTCATGTGGATCAATTTTTAAGGAGCTTTTCTAGAGAGGGCGTTGTACGAACTCCGCGATAATTTTAAACATCGGAACGACAGCCAGATTTAAAGGCCGGAGCAATAATAGAGGCTTTCAGAAGATGAAGATGCGATCACTGGGACAAGAAGTTTATTTGCCTGACGTTTCGGATTCTCACTCGAATCCATCATCAGAGACATTCGCAGATAGAGGTGAAGGTGGCACCAGGAGTGCAGTATTTATAGCACATGGCTGCCGTGGGACCGTATGCGCACTGCAATTAACAGTTCTCACAATCGCCGCTGGGGTCGCTATTGATGCGGCGGTGGCTTGGCAGTCCGAGTCCGAGTTGTTAATTGCCGCGATTTCGTCATCCGTGCTCGATGCTGGTGTGACGATTGCTCGGCAAACTGGCTCACTGTCACCGTGATAATTGCTCACCCGCGCCCTCCCCACGTGACTGATTCTCCTGCCCAGGGAAAATCACAATACGGAATAGGGCACCGGGAGGTCATTGTGTTTGTTGATGGATTGCGGGCCTGAGAACCATGACTCGAGCAGCTCGCGGCTCACGCGGTTGTCACCCCTTACGAGGATTTCGGCCTCTTGAAATTTGAAAATTTGGCCGGGTCCCGTCGAGTGTGCCGCCACCTGAGAGTTAGCGTCTCCCCGCCTCACTGCTGCTGCGTGCTCGGCAAGTCGCGTACGGAGTAATCTCCCAGTTTCTCCGACATAATTGCTTTGTCCGCAACTACACCAGATCCGGTAAACGACTCCAGACGTTTTCTGCCGTGGCAGCGGGTCTTTTGGCCTCATTACTTGGCGCCTAATGGTTGCTTCCGGCCTATGTGCAACCCCAACTCCAAGTGGAGTGAGAAGACGACTGACGGCTTCCGAGACGTTCTTCACGTACGGAAGAGACCGCCAAAATTTGGGGCTAGTTGGATTTGGTCTCTGGTGTCCTTTTCGTATGCACTGATTGACAAAGTTGCGCGGGTAGCCATTGGCTCTCATTACCCGTCGAAAATATTGTAATTCAGCAACCTTGTCTTCCATTTCACTGCAGTGCGTCTCAACACGCCGGTATAGCGCCCTCACGCAACTGCGTTTGTGACTGATCGGGTGGTTGCTATTGAAGTTCAGTATTTGCGTCGTATTTGTCGCTTTCCTGAACACTTTGGTTTTTAGGCCACCACAGTCTTTGCGGCAGATGAGGACATCCAGGAAGGCCAGCTGATTGTTTTCCTCCTCCTCCTCCTCCATCGTAAATTGAATGTCCGGGAAGACGGCGTTGAGTTGTTCTTTGAAAGTCAGCACCTGATCCCGTTCGATGACGACGAAGGTGTCATCCACATACCGAACCCAGAATTTCGGTCTGTGGTGTCGGAAAACCAGCGACTCCAGCCGTTGAAGGACCGCCTCGGCTATGAGTCCCGAAATCGGCGAACCCATTGGCGTTCCCTTCACCTGCTCGTAGATTGTTCCGTCGAATGTAAAGTACGTCTTGAGACAGAACTTCAGGAGCTGGATGATTTGTCGTGTCCGAGGGGATTCTCCGTTTCGAGGCGTTCAAATGATTGGGAGATAAAGAAATTCCGAGAGAGACTGAGAATAATTTGCTCAACAGGGGAGGAAAATCTCTTAGTTGTCTAATAAGAGAGTTCGGGATTATGTCAGTTCCTATTGAGTGCCAGTTAGTAGGCTGACTTCTCAGTTCCCGAATACCAACAGGAACAAAATCAGTGGTATACAAGAATTCATCATACGACAAAGGAGTTGGGAGGATGAGGTCATTTTAAAGGGTAAAGTGATTGGCAAGGAATAAATTTAGCGGTTTTGCTTTTTCCGACTCCTCTCTAATTAAAGTATTGCTGCAACTAGGCAAAGGCGGAATGGTTTAATTGGGACTTTGCTGACGATCTTTGACGAAAGACCCAAGCGACAGATCTAGGAGGATTCGCATCAGTAAACTTGCCTCCAGTCCATCAACAAGTGCAACGATCTTCCCATTCCATATTCCGTGCTGAAACTTCGCCTAGGCGGAATAACAAGCCATGCGGGGAGCGCAGAGGTGAACACTTTTCCCAACACCGGGGTTGGTGCGTAGGATGGTCGAGCAATCATCACGCCGACATCCAACGCACGTAATGAAATTGCAGCAATTATCGACTCGAATGTCGGCCATCAAGCAATGATCACACCAAGTGCGACGATCCCGGATGAAGGGGGGAGCCGTGAATGTTCATAGGTATGCGGTAGCATGGCTACTGCATCCTATAAATACCGCAGCCCCTTGTGCAACAACCACCCGTTTCTGCCTTTTTGTCTCTGATGATGGATTCGAGTAGGAATCCGAAACGTCAGGCTAATAAAGCTCTTGTCCCGGCGATCGGTCTCCTTCTTCAAGCTTTCCAAGTCCTTTTTAGAGAAGGCGTGGGACAGTAGAGGAATAGGCAGCACTCGGTTTAAACATCTTTGGAATGAGATTGAGAAGACCTTCTGTTGCGCACTGCAGTGAATTCCAGGAACAGTTTTTGTCAAAGGTTGCAATAATATTGTGCCAATCAATAGCACTTGGGAAATTTTTATCAATTTCTTGTTAACATTAGCATAGTTAAAGTAGTCAGGCTTCTCAGACATGGGAAGCGGAAGAAAGCAGTGGACTGGTGCATGATCATTTGTATAAAGGTCACGATGAAAATCCATAGATAAAAGGGGGATTCCCTTATTAAAAACCAAATCCGATGTACTTCCATTTCTGGTCGATGGATGGATTAACTGGATCATTTTGAAGAAGGGATAGTATCCAGCAATTTCTGAAGTTTGGGATAGGAAGTATTTGAATGTCAGTCAACTTCTGGTGAGTTAAAATCGCCCATGGTTAACTTGACGTCAAGTGGAGTCTCTGCAACTTTTTAAAAGAGCTAACAGAGGTGGTTTTCATTGTTGGAGTGACAGGGAGGATAACACGGATATACAATGAAGGCCTTCTTATTTTGTGAAAGGATGATCAAGACGAAACAGAAACTGCCAGAAAGGGAGAAATTCTCAGGTCATAGGGTGGGTGTGCACGAGAGTTTCTAGTGTAAAGAAGACCACCGCCACGTTTTTCAACGTGGTCTTGTCGGTATAAGTTGTGATTACCTATGGCGAGCGTCGAATTGAAAATTTGGGGCAAGTCCAAGATTCTGTAACGCAAAAACATCCAGTAAAAATCGAAGGATACAGTTCCTAGCTGGGCCATCTTTTGCAAGACGGGTCTGGAGTTGAGAGAAACTTTACTGAGCCAATTTTTCGCCTGCAACAGCAATCCACGATCGACATGCCATAGGCCGGAATTATTCAGAATATTCTGGGCCCCAAATAAATAGGCCGTCTTTTGAGGAGTTGAAAAACTGTGTGTTTGCAGACTGTAAGCATAAAGTAATTGTTTTCCCAGAACACGATTTCCTTCTCTCCCCTCTATCCGCTGGGCTATAACAAAACCTGATGCATTATGGACGTAAGACAAAATAGGAGCAAGCCAAGCACACTACCCTGAATGGTTCCACTCCTCACGCCTGTGCAAGTTGGGATAGCATGGGAAATTTTAACCCGTTGTGTGCCAGCGCCCAGATAAGAAGTTATTAAGTTTAAAAGTCTACTACCTAGTCCGTAAGAGAAAACCTCCAAAAGTAGAAGAGCTTTGTCATCATGATTTAAAAGTCTGAGTGAAATTAAAACGGATTGTGTAAGGCGTGAAGCCATTGTCCCTAGATTGGAGAATATGATCAAAGAAATACAGCTGGTGGACATCATTAGACCGAGCTTTGAGGAATCTATGATGATCAGCGCTCGATGGATTATCCTCTGTTAAGTGGCACATCTTGCCTCTAATTAGGGTCTCTTAGCTTTTAAAAATTGTTGGGGCGGGGGTTACTGATCGTAAGTATACAAGTGCCATAGACTGGTCGTGCTTGGGGATAAGAAGTACATGTGATTCCTTTCAAAAGTGGAATAGGTTTCAATTTTAATATCGAGATTAAATATTTTGCACAGAGGGGACGGGAAAATTGTATTTGCATCCGTTTTTAAAATGCCAGTTGGGACACCATCAAGTCGCGGACTATCAGATTAACGAGAATGTCCAATGGCTACAGGCACGTCCCACACGGTGAAAGTTGTCGTTCTGAGAACGACACCGGCCCAAAACGGAATACTCGAAAGTGGAGCGGTCCAGTTTTTAGTAAACGTCTTAATCAAGAAAGCATTGAAACTATAACCGGTCAATTTGGCGTGCGGTATTGGATTTTCGAGAGTTCCTCGAAGGGTGGGATGTTTCGTCTTCATGTGTGCTCTTATTTTTCGGGAAAAAGGCGCCGTCACATTTAGAGAGTGATTTTCGACAAAGTGGAGCGTTTCCGCTAGCTGTCTTTCTTCGGACAATCCCTTAGCCTGACCACGGATATAACAAATCAAGGGCAGAAGGGCAAAGTCGTTTTTCAGATGGAATCGACGAGGGAGCCCACGTAACCTGCGAGGAAAGAGTAAAGGGAGAAAAACCTCACCCCCAACATTAATTATTTTATTACGGGAAACAAAATGAGAAATGGGCGGACCAAACACTTCACACAGTTTGGCGGTGCAAACATTTATGTCCGAACTTAGGAACAACTCGGTCCGGTCGTAGGAATTAAGGTTTGGTAATAATCAGGTCAAGTGAGCTGGTCAGAAATCGAAGAACAGGCTATACTTTGAGGACAAAATTTCATCAGCCTCGAGTTCTAACGTAGAAACAAATATGCCGTTGTCTGAGCCCTGAGTGGGCCTAGAGGTGACACTGACGAAGGAATGCAGCTTCTACAGAAACCTATGTCAAATATGCTAGATCCTCGGGTGGGAAAATCGACAACCTGATTACGTGCCAGCATCCAAAGCTTCGAGTAAATCTCCGAACTTTCTGAGGCCAGAAGGCGGAAACTAGCTGACTTCTGGAAGATTGCAGCCACTTGCAACCAACTGATATCTAAAGATCCAGTCGGTCGCTGGATGAAATGTCCGTGAGCGACAAAGGTCAGATTATTCGTTGGAGCTCAGGGGACGATAGACACAGCCAAAAAGAAAAAGCGCTTATTTTTTTAAAGTAGCCTGAAGCCAGCAGATACCTTCTAACGCTGAAAACTTCTAGAGGTCCAGTAGCAGAAATGCAAGTGTTTGATTAGCATACGTGCAAATTGCTCGGTCGCGGCTGTCATGACGACCATTTCGAATGCAAGCATAGCCTAGAAGGGAGAGTTGCGAATCAGCTACGGGGGCTGTAGCCCATGTCTCGGTTGCTAAAACAATATATGGACAGTGAAGGAACACCAGGGTCTGAAGCAAGGACGTCATACTTAGTAAGGATCTGGCATTCAGAACTAAAAATTTTGGGGGATAGGCTATTTGTTTTTGAGAGAGGTGAGCTACGTCGTACAGTGTTTGGCTGTCCACGGAACATATGGTCCGGATGCACCTGTCCGGTTCTGGAGATATCTTATGGCATTACGAGAGTTCGATGCGGATAAAGAGGAGTAGGATTTGGGGAGGAAATGACAGGCAGGAAAAATGATCCCTATCGTTAGCTGGCTAACTTTCTACAGGAAATCTATAAGCAGGAGTTTGCAGCGCATTCCCGAGTAGCTGACAGTGATGACCGAGTGAGTTTACTGACCTAGTATGAACAGTTGTCCGAAGTTTCCATAGGTAAAGCCGCCATGGAGGGCACATGTTTGAGGGTCGGGGGGTATTGCTTTGATTGAAGCAGGCATTTTATTCATAGGCGAGAATTTTGGTATAATCGATTTAACCGTTATAATATAAGACCCGGGGTAGTTTAAAATAAATAAATAAATTTTAATTTAATGCCAGTTTACAGGCATTGTCAAGGGAAGCGATTAAATACAAATCCGACCAGCAGTGAAAAAAAAAACTCCTGAGCTTAAGGCATAAAAATATAGTTGATGGTGGTTTTTGTGGTTTGGAGGGCTCAGGAGAAAAAAACTGTCGGCGGTGGTAGAATATCGACCGTCAAGAAAGGGGGAGGTTGCACGGTATCGGAGATTA